TTTAAGTTTTTAGGAAATAGGGAAACTAATATTATTCTCTGTCAGTTGAGAAATGAGGCCAGTAACCTAAATAATGACCGTCAGAAAGATTATCTTACTGAGTCCTCTGCATGTTCTTGTGGTTCTAGATTTGAAACAGCATCTCATTACTTCCATGATTGTATCAAATACACTGAAGATCGTATTCTACTTTTTCAGAATATATTCCATGAAACTCACAACCATTTATCATTAGATGTCATGCTAAATGGTTGTGAGAGATGTGATGAAAATGAAAATAAACATATTCTCCTATCTATATCCAATTACATTTTAAGTTCTAGAAGATTCAGGACATTTAACTTCAATTTTGAATGAAATTTTACATTTTATTTATTTACACTTTATTTATTTACATTTTATTTTTTCTCAATGTAATTCTTCTGATTTCCAGAAATGGTACATGAATATTAATATTAATATTTCCTATTTGTCTTCATTGTTTATTTTTAAATATTGTTAGTGAGGGGGGCTGGGGTTCAGAAGACCAGTTATACTATTTTATTAAAAAATATTGGGAAACAACTACATAAATAAGAATATAAAGCTTTACAACATGTTAATTATATATCTAACCTGTGTTTAATATACATAAATTAAACTATTTGGTGGGATTGAATTTCCAAACTCATCAGTGGATGGCCTTGTGTGATACAATGGACTTTTTGGCCTGTATCTGTTGGGTGCGGTAATTTAATCCCATCAAATGTTTATACATGCAGCTCCATCAACAAACTATTTTTCTTTTCTCTTCATAATATGTATATACCGGTATATATTTTATATGTCTTTTCAATATCAAAATACATACATTTTTGAGGCTAAAAACATACTGGGAATTCAAAAAGACAAATGAATGAAAAAGAAAAAAAAACTACTTCCGATTTCCAATGTGTCCCATTATTAGATTGAAATTATTTGTATCTACCCATTATCAAATATTATGATTTGTAACAGGTGGGGGATGAGACACATGGTACATACATGTATTAAGAAGTAATTTTCATTACAAAGTTCAATCAAGGCAGGGAGAGAGTTCAGACAGACCAGCGTTACCGTATTACATACATACAGACAATTTGAAATTAACAGAAAAACATAAGTACATACATAAAAGGACATCATAATTACAACAGGTGACTAAGGACGACAAGATCAGCTGTCACAGCATGAATCCATGCCGTGCACATCTATACAGTTTCAATTTTGCGCATAAAATGGCATATATCGAATTGTATCGAATGTAAACGCTTGCGTGACCAGGAATATTGACTTGCTTACTTTTATGACAATCAGGCGATAAGACGCTTTGAAAGGGACTTCATAATATCAGGTTGCTCAAAACACAGCTGCTATTAAGTCAGAAAATTAGTTTGACTTTTAATTATGATTATTGTTAAGAAAACAAATATGAGATTGAATAGTCATCCTGCATAAATATTTTATGTTCAAAATACCCATTTTAGTTGCCATTTAAAATGGTGTAACATCGTAAGGGAACATACATATGCATGACAAGTGAAATAGTGTAGACTTGATACTCAATATGTTTGGGATTTACAACCATAAAATGACTATTTTAAACCATATATCAGTAAACTCAACAGGTAAGCATACTATATACAATAAGAGAAAGGGTTCAGAAACTAAATTATTTGGCGGTATACCGCTATACAGATAGAAATTTAGCGCTTATGACTAACTACTTTTTCAGTACGTACATGTGTATAACATTGATTTAGAGGACTTGCTAACTGAATATAAACTTCATTTTTTATAACGAGTTTTAATGAAAATCTACGTTTATACGTAGTTTACCAATTATAATTAACCTGGATATCCTCAATACGTTCGTTTTACCACGGACTTGGATAATCTAATCTAAATCCGTGGTTCTACGTAAAATAATGGACGTGCGTTATGTTTATACCCGGAATAAATCCAAGCCCTTGATTTATATAACAATATGTCAATTTTTATATAACATACATCGATATCCAGTATTTTATTCAATTCAGTATCTCATTTGATGTCTTTAAACAAAAATCTTATCAGAAAATATATTACTCTATAATTAACCTGGATATCTTCAATACGTTCGTTTTACCACGGACTTGGATAATCTAATCTACTTCCGTGGTTCTACGTAAAATAATGGACGATCCAAGCCCGTGATTTAGATAACAATATGTCAATTATTATATACCATACATCGATAACCAGTATTTGATTCAAGGTTCAATACACAATGTACATACCATAGATAACAACTAGATATAAATAGATAGATACATATTATTTTGTACAAATATGGACAGAGACAATTATATTATAAACAAAAATTACATGCGTGCGCACACGCACTTTGCTTACGTGTTACACATATACCACTGACTTGGACAGCTAAGTCCGTGGTCACACTAACATATATGTACTGGTGTTTAATTATCATAGTATCAACACATGACCAGGATAATTTATTTTTAAGTACATTGGTATAAATAGATGAGAGTGTACTCTACTGGAAATTAATAAATTAACTTGGATACTTTACTAAGGAAATTGACACTTAGATGTTGAAGGTATCTGTGTATATATAACACAGAGGGCATTTGGATATTGTTATTAATAAAATGAGTGTATTACCTGTGATGAGTATTTCTAAGTTTATTTTTCAAATGCACATACTTGTAACAAAGTATACAGAAGATTGGATAGTATCACTTGATAAAGACTTTGTCAGTCAACACTTGAGTTAATATGATTTAACATACATGTTTATATATACTATTTGACATCATGCAAAGGAACCATCATGCAGCGGTATAACACGTAGAAAGGTAAGTTTTTAGTAGATAAATGAACATAATTCTTTTGGAAATAAGGAATGATACAAGTAATTAAATACAACATTTTAGGTAGTGTATTTGTCAATTATGTTCTGTCACACTATAGAGGAGCGAGGACCTTCACAGAACCACGACTACCTACGAGCATTGACTTGTTTATCAGTGTTTATCAGCCAGTGTTCGTACACCTCTATCAGGAGGGGGGTCGGGGTAGTCAGAGAGTTCGTCAATTCCCGTCACATGTTTCTTCTCGCCGTTGTTATCACGGATAGTTATTCGACCATCCATGGTCCAGGTACCGAAAATCAGCTTACTTGACTTGAGAAAGCGTGCCTTGGTGAAAACTGCACTTCTACTTTTCGTCAGAGCATCGTTAATGTAGAGCTTAGAAGGGGAGGGGAGTTTTGGTGTAGTTTGTTCGCTATTATTTCCATTTGTTATTAATGGATTTTTTACATGAATAAACCTGCCATCATAAACCTGTGCTCTAGTTTTATATGTGAGGAACCGCACACTTATATCCCTGGGGTAACGTGTAGATTTCGGTCCAACACGATGCGACCGGCTAATATCGGCACTGGTGACTATGACCCCTAGTTGGTTATTACACGTATCAATGATGATTTGGTCAGTATCGTCCTCTTGATGTTCAGCGATACCCCTGCATTTTAGATAATTACGTCGAGAGTACTGCTCCATATTGTCTAACCTTGTCTCCAATGTGTTGATTTGCTGGTGTAGAGCTGTTATTCCTAAAGAACTTAGCAGTGCATCTTTGAAAAGTGCATTGTCGATTAGCTGGGACACTACTTGTTTAATGATGATAGGGTCTCGTAGTTCAGTTATGGCTTGAACACCTTTCTTGATTTTAGTAGACAGATCAGTAGACATGTTGTACACAGGTGTAGGAGTATAGAATAATATATTGTGGCAATAACACGATAAGTTCTTTCAAAAACAAGGACGATTTCAGACAAAGAAAATGGCGGGAGATTGACCGAGGTCCTCTTCAGAATTTCAACGTCTTCAAGTACTCTAAATAATGCAAAATATTGACCAGACCACAAATGTTTATGCAATACTATTACTAATCTGCATGTTGTATAAAGAATGGTCGTATAGTCCCACAAAAAGCACACTATAACAGCATTTTCTTTTCCTCGGTTACATGTCGGTCATAGCTTGACCACCGGAAGTTACGACTCAATATGAAGGAAGAGTGAATGGATTTACTCCCTTGGTTAATACTAAGACAATCTTGAACATTATTTATATAAATATATGCAATGTCTCATGACATCTTGATTTGGTTTGGTTTTACGTTCTATCAACAGCTATGGTCATTTAAAAGTTCCCGGAGAAAAACCACTGACCTACGGCCAGTACCTGGCGACTGCCCCACGTAGGCCTCGAACCCCCGACCCAGTGGTGGAGGGCTAGTGGTAGCAGAGTGTCAGACGTCAATTTTCCAAGCTAAATAAAAGTCAATTCAGGGAAGAAAAAAACCCCATTTAAACTTGTTAATATCATAAGGTTGGATGTCCATGGAGATGCATTTGTCGAGAAAAATGTGAGAAAATGCTTCAAATCTCCTTAACTACTGGGACAATTTCAGCTAAAAAAATCGTTCATCTGGGATATAAAGATTTGGTTTGCTAGTTAGTTTTTGCATTGGGAGAGATATGTCAGTGACCTTCATACTTAAATAAGTGTACAGCTCAGTCAATAAATAAATCATAAGTGGTAGGGAATATGGAACTAAGCAAAGGAACGAACCGTATTTGGTTGGTTTAGTTGAACCATTCTTGAGTTGTAGGATTCAAAATTGTTCAAGTTGAATGGGTGGGGCAACAGCTATGGTCATTTAAAAGTTCCCGGAGAAAAACCACCGACCTGCGGACAGTACCTGTCGATGGCCCCACGTAGGCCTCGAATCCCCGACCCAGTGGTGGAGGGCTAGTGGTAGCAGAGTGTCAGACGTCTTAACCACTTGGCCACCGCGGCCCCATTGACATCTTGATGACACATTAAGTCGAAAGATCATGTTCATTGTGAGGAAAATCATTAGCAATGACATAAATGTAGCGTAGTTGTCGCTGTGTTATAGGTGCTTCTATAAAACCATCTGTTACATGGCTCTGCCTGAAAATCGTTCAGGCAGAGCCATGTAACATCATTTTAATCAGATTGTTCTATATATAAATTGAACATTTAGAAGCATGTATATTTCTCCCTGAAGTAAAAGGTATTTAGGTTATATTTAAACAGTAATATTCATCTGATTCTCTATATCTTACTTCATGCCTGACTTCACACATTAGCAACACTTGAGGATTTTCCTGAGACATCATACAAAGTAACTGACGTTGTATCAAACGACCGTTTTACTCGAAGGTAAGCTTTCTGATTGATAATTACATTTTTCTTTACCGTTTGGCATTGGAAGTAGAAACATTAATGTATTTTGCTTGACAAAGCATAAAAAAGATTTCCGCTATACTTTGTTTTCAAACTGTCGTGTTTCAATATATATGGACACCTATTTGAATGCGATTTTCACTATAATGTCAATACATGAATGTATTTTCATTATGCAAACGTAGTTAAGACAATTTCAATATGGCTGCCACACCAAACTGTATTTCAATTTCAATAATGCATTCTGTTAGCATTAAACAATCCCTGTCGCAAAATGATACTCTTCCAATATTTCTCAAACATAATTGAGGTATATGCACACTAAAAAAACCCAGAAAAAACCCATTCAATAACTGATAAAAAAAACTAACTTTTTATGTGTCCATTTTCCAAGCTAAATAAAAGTCAATTCAGAGAAGAAAAAAACCATTTAAACTTGTAAATATCATAAGGTTGGATGTCCATGGAGATGCATTTGTCGAGAAAAATGTGAGAAAATGCTTCAAATCTCCTTAACTACTGGAACAATTTCAGCTAAAAAAATCGTTCATCTGGGCTATCAAGATTTGGTTTGCAAGTTTGTTTTTGCATTGGGAGGAATATGTCAGTGACCTTTAAACTTAAATAAGTGTACAGCTCAGTCAATAAATAAATCATAAGTGGTAGGAGACTATGAAACTAAGCAAAGGAACGAACCATATTTGGTTGGTTTAGTTGAACCATTCTTGAGTTGTAGGATTCAAAATTGTTCAAGTTGAATGGGTGGGGCAAAGTAAAGAGTTTTGAATTGGAAATGATTAAGATCTCAATCCCATAGCTACATCCACAATAGCAGATTAGAAAGAGATACATACACACATGTTCTGAGGTAGTTCTGGGGTCTGGCCCCTAACTTTGTGATTTATTCACTTGGTCATAACTTTTAAATGGTCGAGTTTCCACCCCATAACCATATATACAATTACTGAGCATATTGAGCCAAACAAAACCATAGGGTTTGGTTTTGTATTGCCCAACGTGCTATTAACAGCTCAGGTCATTACAAGACGTGCCTCCAGGTGAGTTGTGTATGTGTGCCGGAGAACTGGTACGTAAGTGTACTTGCCTAATTGTTATAGCGCGGATCTGATGCCGACATCGCAACTCATTTTATTGTTGTTGTTATTCCATGCTAAACGTTCAGCATTTAGGGAAATGACAACAACTGGTTCACCCGTTATCAGTATAATGTGACCGGGCGGAATGCTGTGCTGGGTGCCTTCGGCATGGTATTTCAGTGAGATAGCACTATCAAGTCGGCATCAGATCAGCGCTATCACAACGAGGAAAGTACACCAACATACCATATATCCGGCACGCATACACAACACACATTTAGGCACGTTCTTAAATGATCTTGGCTGTTAATAGAACGTTTAACAAATGAAACCCTTTTATCTTGAAAGATGAACGCATCTCGCACAAAGGTGATTGCAACATTAAAATTTGGTAACAGATACAGTATGACAAAATTGAACAACACTACACCTTATTGCTATTTCGCCCTTCGCTGACTCAAGGATGACCATAGGGCCAAAATGTTTAATGTGACCAGGCGGAATGCTTTGCTGCGTGCATCCGAGAAGTATTTCAGTGAGGTAGCACTCTGATTTCGGCATCAAATTCGCGCTATCGTAGGGAAGCAATTGTACCAACTCACCGCCTACTGCACACATGTAAATACGCATGCAGAGACTAAACACGTGTAGGCAAGGTCTTGTAGCTGCTTTTATGACGCTAAACTAGTAAAATTAAACCATGTCAGAACATAATCGTACAACACTTTGTTATACAATCAATGAGTATAGATGGATGCTGCGTGGCATGTAATTGACGCCCCTTGGTGCTGTTGTTAAATATTAAGGATGCGTAAATGGAAAATAGGGTAGCATTTAAAAAATTTATTGGAAGAATAAAAAGTCTGTGAGATACCACGTCACCTAAAAAATGATATCATTGTTATATTCTATTTAGTTTATTGGCCTTTTTACATGTCTAGCACAGCCAGATAATGGAGACAGATAAGAGGTTATCTCAAGCACATGCAATAGCTGAAACTCGAGATAGAAAGACGCAGTTCTACGACTCGTGGAGTAAATTGTTTGACCAGGTACGGTTCACACACTATAGCACTGTTATCGTATTGTTACTCCAATCATCATCAGATAATGAATTTTCGCCAGTGCTATAAGCAATTCGTGGTATCGTTATTACTTAAAAAGTACCGAACATCTAAAATTTCATTTGACAGTTCCCCTAGGTCCTAATATGTGCTTGTTTCGATTTTGGCTTGATAAAAAAAAGAATTGTCCTCTAGGAGGCCATCAAGGATTTTGACAGTTTGAGTTTGTTATCGTTATTTTTTTTTAAATAAACTCGACAGATCTTCATTAACTATTTAGCCGACAATCATCAGATGGGAGGCTGATCAATCGCCATCCGGGATCCGTCATCATTCCGTCATTTAACTGTATTTCTTGTTATCGCCTTTTCCTAAAAGGAAGTCGTCAATGACCCTCAAATTCCATATGAATGATTCTCTTGGTTCATTTCTGTGAATGTTTCGGTTGGGACTGATTTGGGAAAATATGACAGCCTCCAGGCAGCCATTGTAGGTTTGGACGGTTCAAAATTGTTATCGCTGTTTCTCAAGCAGTACTTAGGATATCTTTCTCTCAAAATTCAGTTGTGGGATTTCCTTGGTCCATAGTTGTTTATATTTTATTTAAAGACCATAAAAAACAAGATGGTCATCAGCCAGCCATCCTTGATTTCAAAGTTAAAGTGTTTTTTTTATTGCCGTTTCTCTAAAAAGTACTAGACAAACCTGCCTCAAATTGTACATGTAGGTTCCAAATGGTGAATATGTTTGCTTGAAAATGGTCGAAAACGTTAGCCGTTTTTGGATTTTGGGAGTTCCCAGTCTGTTACCGCTATTTCGCGAGAAGTAAACAATAATATGTATTTAAGTTTAACAAGACTACGAATCAAACAGCTATAAGAAAAGAACAATCTTACATAGAGGTAATGAAGATCTTACGATGATGGGCACCAAAATCCCTCCGGGATATCTTGTCTCTCAGATTAACATACCCAAACGTTTAGCTTAAGAATTTTTTGAAGTCCGATAACTTTCAATCCGTCTTATTTTCAAGTACTTTTTGATGGTAGCATAGGTTTGGGTAGGTACTCATCTTCAAATGGACAAAACAAAGTGAAATTTAATGTCCGGACTAATGACTTCTGAGGTTTATAAATATATGCGAGAGTGATAATCACCAACTTAACATTTTAATACCGAAAGAGATGGACATGGTTGAAGTTATGTCTTCAATGAGTTTCCACCATTTCCCCCTACCTACTCTGTTTTATACGATCATATGTGTTGCTAGCGCTTATAATTGCAGCCTAATAAAACATAAAGGAATTCCTAAAAGATACCTCAAAGATATTTCCTCTTTGATACTGCCATTATATATACTGTTGCGCATCTGGTCGCTAGCATGGCAACTATGCATCCCGTCAAGAGGCGTCGTATGTTGTACATGATGGTCAACGTTAGCCATCTTCTCAGCCAAGTGCTGTACTACCAAATCAAAAATTGTTTGGATAATTAAAAATTAACTAAAGCATGGATTCGTCAAATCGAATGTTTATGTGATATTTCATTAATGAGAAGTATCTTAGAAAAGACTACAGATATAAAATACTTTATATATTTGATTTAAGTATAAAAGGCTAACATTATTTGTGGTGTGTTATTCAATATTTCCATGCAAAGGACATGCTCTCTGACGGATATAGCGGTCCATCTATGGCGGCAGATGCAGTGGCTGGATTATATCCCGGGGATCGGGAGAATGTGCACATACTTGATATTGCAGCAGGAACGGGTTTTGTTGGCGAACAGGTATTGTGTGTGAAGAATGTTATTCCCACACACCCCTCTTTTCATATGACATAAGACTACTAGATAACGCATACATTTCTTGCGTAATATACGTAAGGCAGTCCCCTGTATGTTCATAGGGAAGAGCAGTATATTTATATATTGTTTATTAAGGATATTACTAGTAAATACACATGTGATTGCGCCTATAGAATTTGGAAGTCGAAGAAGAATTTCACTGCATAATACAGCCGTTTCATCTACATACCCTGTCTCCGACACACATGAACACATTCACGGATACACAACACACTTGAAGGCACGTCCTTAACTGATCTTAGCGGTTGACAGGACGTTAAACAAAATGAAACCAAACCAAACCAATCGTCCTTCTAAGACCCATTGGTGATGCAAGGCACACAAACATGGAATAGGTCTAAACTACTGTTTAAACGGAAGGGAAGTTCACACACCCGCTTTACCATGTGAATTACAAAATTTGAAGCAAACTGGTGAATTGAAAATTAATATATAATGAGTAAGATGAGTAACTGTGGCTATCAAGTTAAAGGCAAAATCCTTGGGGACTAAACGTTCCTCCAGCTGAATGCACCAATTTGTATCAAAAGATTTCCTGTGTAGGTCATGACATTCGAGTGAACTTTAAAAAGCCCCCATCATCCGTTGACATCGTCTTTGTATTGATACGACATTGGCTGTTGCAAAGATGTAAAACCTCAAACGAACAAAAACTGATTTGATGGCCACAGTTTTAATTCTTAGGACTTTCGTTCATTCTATTCAGTAGTGTTTTCAAATGCCTTTTTGAGCTTATATGTGAAATTTGGAAGGATGTCTATAAGGCCCTTTTTTTGGGCCCCGGTATATTCGGATATTAGGATTTTCACCTCCTTATTTTGTTCAAAGATGTCCTATTGTATGACATGCGAAAAAACTAAGGTAAAACTTTGACCGAAAGTGGGTTTCTTAGGGTACCAAAAGGGGTATGGTAAATCACAAATATAGTTTGATGTTTTCAAAATGACCTTAAAAACCAAAATAATACCATTTCTGTTTTTGAAAACATGTATAAATTAGACGAGCATATGTAACGGAATAAACAATGACAGAAATTCAATCGTCACTTTAAGATTATTTATATAAAACAAGGTATTACGTCAGGGGGTTCTTTTCGGTTATTTTCAATTGAAAAGTTATTTGTTTTCTCAATGATTTCCTTTCTAAGAAATATTTTGACTTTAAATTTACAACTTTACTCATTTAAGTAAACTTACATAAATTGCATATTGACTTCATACTTTCCTTTTGTTTTATACTGAGTTATGGCTTCTGGACACATCCCCAAACTTGGCTTTTTCAAATATCTCTCAATTTAAAGTGAATTAAAAGATGCATGACACCCTTTATATGATATAAGTATAACACATCAATTGTTAGTATTGTATATTATATATATCATATAATATTTACTCAACACCTGTGGCTGAAGTGAGTTCCAGGACCTGGTTTGTTTTTTTACTTTTCAAAGTTAACTAACAAATCTAAAATGACATTTGTCACCACAACTACTGTAAAACTAGAACACTGACAGGTCAGTAAGGGCCCCGTCTTGTGGCAATATATCCCCCATAATCATCAAGAAGCAATCTGCCCATATAGCTGAGCTTGACGTTTGATATTTGGACTTCAAAGAGAATCGCAAGGAAGCAAAATATACATTTTACATGTACTATGATGCGAGTCTTGTTTCCTTCCACCTCCATATTTGCTGGGCTAACAGAAATGTAAATACCGGTGCAATACTCATTTGTTAGCTTTGATTTGTTTTATTTCACCTTATATACCTCCTCCATAAGGAGCCAGGGTCAAAGTCAGAGATCCACTTTGTCTTTGACCTTTGGACCCAAATGACCTTGACCATTAACCCAGTGACCCTGATCTTTGGTCAGTTGACTTATTCTTTAATTTCGACCAACTTTGCTTCTTAATATCATAACAAAATGTTCATCAGTGAAACATACAAAACTTGGCCTTGACTTGACCCTTTTGACCCCGTAAACTGGACCTAAGGTCAGTTGACTCTGTGTTAGGTTCTGAACAACATTGCTTCATAATGTCATAACAAAGTGTTCATCAGTGAAAAGATTCAAAATTTGACCTTGACCTTTGAATATAATGACCCTGACCTTTGACCTCGACTTCTTACCTCAGTGTGTCTCTTTGTTTAACTCCGAACAACTTTGCTACATAATGTCTTAGCGAAATGTTCACCAGTGAAAAGCTACAAAATTTGACCTTGACCCCTGACCCGATGACCTTGACCTTTGGACAGTTGACTCCTTGTTTAATTCTGATCAACTTTGCTTCATAATGTCATAACAAAATGTTCATCAGTGAAAAATACAAAAATTTGGCCTCGACCCTTTGTACCCCGTAAACTGGACCTAAGGTCAGTTGACTCTGTGTTAAGTTCTGAACAACATTGCTTCATAATGGCATAACAAAATGTTCATCAGGGAAAAGGTACAAATTTTAACCTTCACCTTTGACCCAGTGACCTTGAACTTTGGTCAATTGACTCCTTGTTTAATTCTGAGCTACATTGCTTCAAAGTGTCATAGCGAAAAGGTTTAGTAAAAAGATAAAAAAAAAAATAAAAAAAAATTGGCCTTTGACCCAATGACCTTGACCTTCGGTCAGTTGACTCCTTGTTTAATTCTGATCAAGTTGGCTTCATAATGTCATAACAAAGTGTTCATCAGTGAAAGATGCAAAATTTGACCTTGACCTTTGAATATAATGACCTTGACCTTTGACCTCGACTTCTTACCTCAGTGTGTCTCTTTGTTTAATTCCGAACAACTTTGCTACATAATGTCATGGCGAAATGTTCACCAGTGAAAAGCTACAAAATTTGACCTTGACCCCTGACCTGATGACCTTGACCTTTAGTCAGTTGACTCTGTGTTAAGTTCTGATCAACTTTGCTTCATAATGGCATAACAAAATGTTCATCAGTGAAAAGATGCAAAATTTGACCTTGACCTTTGAATATAATGACCCTGACCTTTGACCTCGACTTCTTACCTCATTGTGTCTCTTTGTTTAACTCCGAACAACTTTGCTACATAATGTTTTAGCGAAATGTTCACCAGTGAAAAGCTACAAAATTTGACCTTGACCCCTGATCTGATGACCTTGACCTCTGGACAGTTGACTCCTTGTTTAATTCTGTTCAACTTTGCTTCATAATGTCATAACAAAATGTTCATCAATGAAAAATACAAAATTTGGCCTTGACCCTTTGTACCCCGTAAACTGGACCTAAGGTCAGTTGACTTTGTGTTAAGTTCTAAACAACATTGCTTCATAATGGCATAACAAAATGTTCATCAGGGAAAAGGTTCACAATTTAACCTTCACCTTTGACCCAGTGACCTTGAACTTTGGTCAATTGACTCCTTGTTTAATTCTGAGCTACATTGCTTCAAAGTGTCATAGCGAAAAGGTTTAGTAAAAAGATAAAAACAAAACAAAAAAACTTGACCTTTGACCCAATGACCTTGACCTTCGGTCAGTTGACTCCTTGTTTAATTCTGATCAACTTTGCTTCATAATGTCATAACAAGGTGTTCATCAGTGAAAGATGCAAAATTTGACCTTGACCTTTGAATATAATGACCTTGACCTTTGACCTCGACTACTTACCTCAGTGTGTCTCTTTGTTTAATTCCGAACAACTTTGCTACATAATGTCATAGCGAAATGTTCACCAGTGAAAAGCTACAAAATTTGACCTTGACCCCTGACCTGATGACCTTGACCTTTAGTCAGTTGACTCCTTGTTTAATTCTGATCAACTTTGCTTCATAATGTCATAACAAAATGTTCATCAATTTGACCTTGACCTTTGAACCTAATGACCTTGACCTTTGACCTTGACTTTTTACCTCAATGTGTATTTTTGTGAACTGAACATCTTGACCAAGTTTCATGTACATCGGTTAATAAATACCAAAGTTATTAGCCAGGAACAAAATTTGTGGACGGACAGACAAAGAATGATTACTATAGTTATTTTTTGCAAAGCATAAACTATCTGACCTTTGGTCAGTGTAGCATGGCAAACGCCCCTCTTACTACTATAAATACTCTACTGGGCCTGTTTAATCTACATACATATATACAGACTAGTATTGTCAGGAAATATTTGGTGTTAGGCAAGGAAATGCACTTTGATCCTTGTACTCTAAATCACAGTAAAATGTGTTTTTAAGTAAAAAGGCATTGTGGGATAAGTATGATACTTTTACAAATTAAATATCATCATATAACTAAACTCAATGCCAAGTTACATGCTTATCCCCAAATGCCTTTTATGTACAATCATCGGATAAACATTGGAAATAGGCAGAACATTTGATAAAACAATGAAATCGGCTAACTTTAACGATTAAAGCAGATACTTTCTTTGAGGCTAGGAGACAAAAGATTACCAGCAAATCAAACTTCATAAATTAAATCAATCATTTTACAGTAGTTGTGGTGGTAAAAGTCATTTTTGATTTGTAAGTCAACTTTGATAAGTAAAAACAAAAACCAGGTCCTGGAACTCACTTCAGCCACAGGTGTTGAGCAAATATTATATGATATATATAATATACAATACTAACAATTGATATGTTAAACTTATATCTTATAAAGGTCTTTTAATCTTTTAATTCGCTTTAAATTGAGAGATATTTGAAAAAGCCAAGTTTTGGATGTGTCCAGAAGCCATAACTCAGTATAAAACAAAAGGAAAGTATGAAGTCAATATGCAATTCATGTAAGTTTTGTAAATTTTAAGTCAAAATATTTATCAGAAAGGAAATTTTATAGAAAACAAATTACTTTTCAATTGAAAATGACCGAAAAGACCCCCCTGACGTAATACTTTGTTTTATATAAACAATCTTTAAGTGACGATTTAATTTCTGTCATTTTTCATTCCGTTACGTATGCTCGTCTAATTTATACATGTTTTTTTTAATGTCATTTTGAAAACATCAAACTATATTTGTTATTTACCGTACCCCTTTTGGTACCCCCAGAAACCCACTTTCGGTCAAAGTTTTACCTTAGTTTTTCCGCATGTCATACAATAGGACATCTTTGAACAAAATAAGGAGGTGAAAATCCGAATATACCGGGGCCCAAAAAATGGCCTTATAGGCAATCTTCCTTTTTCTTTCCTCTGTGGACTAAAAGACATCATATGATACCGTTATGTGTAAATATTCATCAACAGGAAACTCAACCATTATGAACATCAATTGTTTGCTTTTTAGTTGGCAAAGCACGGATTTGTCAAAGTTGATGCCTTGGATCCATCCCAAGGAATGTTGGATAAAGCGAAAGCAAAAGGTGTCTACCAAACGTTGATTTGCTCGTATTTCGATGAGAAAAAACTTGACATTGCACCAGGTAAGTTTTTCTTTTTTAAATAGGACAATGTAATTAGTATTAACCGAAACAGTGGAATTAATGGATAACTTTGTATGCAACCGCATGTGATATTCGAATGTTTCAAGATATATGAGTAACAATATACTGTATTTGGTGACCAGTTTCTGTGTCTCTCAAGGCACAATTGCCGAATAAACAATTAACAGCAAAATTAAACAGCAACGTGTTCAGATTGTTTATTAACAATAATATAATTCTTTATTTGTCGCGAGGACGTTAAACCACAAGCATTTATCATTTATTGAACGTTTATCATAAATCAGTAATTTAGTGATTGAGCGTTATACGTTAATATCTTGGAGCAATGAATGTTTCAGCAAATGTTGTTATGGTCCTATAACTTACATTGCTATTGATGACAAACATAATAACAGGGCTTTATGAAAGTTTGTCAGCAATAGATTTGGGCGTAATAGGACCATACAAATATTTACTAAAATATTATTTTCATATTTACATTTTGATAGAGTATTAACGCTTTATTTTGTTAATCGAACAGTTATTTGAACAGCAATTTAAGTCTTGACAACAGTGAAATTTATGACGTCACAATAGTGATTGATGACGTTACAACAGCAAACGCTGTTTTTAGTCTCACAACAACATTTGCCTTTGCAATGGAAGGATGCAGTGCAAATGTAAACAAACAATAACATTGTATTCCTATCTAAATGAACTAACGCAGATTCGATTACAAATAGGAAGAATAAGCCTGAAACAAAGATGACTTTTTTTTTAATTTGCCTAATTGAAAAAGGAAGAATTTTCTTCTTCAAACTTCAAAATCGTTTTTAATTTTAAGTATATTGCATTGCGAATGTACATTTTATCTTCAAATAGATACCTATGATGTCATCGTCATTTGCGGAGGCTGTGCCAATATGCACCTGCCATGTGACTGCCTTTGGGAAGTCTTGCGTCTTGTTAAACCAGGTAATTCTCCAAATGCATTTAAATCGGTTTTCCCTTAAATCTGTTTTATCTTCGCCGACAGAGGATTTGGAATATTCAAATATTTGTGAATCAAGATCGGAAATAAATTCAGCCCTTCCTTGGTCGACTAGCTGGTCTTTACCAGAAAAGGATCCAAGAGTTCCGAATCCAAATCACGTCACTAAAAAGTTTGGAACGTACTAATACCATATTTAAAGCGTTTAAAAGATCACACAGTGAGACTCGTGATGAGCATAGAATTGGTAACAACTAGGTCTAGCAAGATGAGCAAACATGTTCGGTGAACTTCATGCAACTTGAACAGAACCTTAAAATATCTAGTGGTTGGTACAATAAATGCACTAACCCGTCGAAAGATTTAGGACATTTCCATTGTCCAACGTGGATATCTACTAGCCACGAGCTCTCGGGCTAGAGTTAATGTCGAACAGTGAATTATTAGTTTAACATCAGTTGGGTCGATTTAATGAACTACTTAAGACGTATATTTGGTATCTCCAATGTGACAGGTACGTTGGCATATCTCTCGCATACCTGTGATAGGATGGTGCTGGTCGATGTAAAACACCTGTCATGGTGGCCGACATTACTCGTTACCTAAATTGATCGTAAACGCTTTTGATTTATCAATTTAATTGATAAACTGCATACCATTCGCATATCTTCTGGTAAATCTGCAGCATGTGTCATTGACACATCGTACTTGGTGCACGAGGTATGCAACCTCCCTGTAATTTAGTTTCGTTTCAATGTAAACAAGAGGCACAGAGGGCATGTATCGCTCACCTGGCAAATAAAGAAAGCTTGGAAAATTGTTTTTATTACATATAACAACTATTTTCAAATATTGGCTGTGTTCCTCAATCATTACCCGTCCCTCATTAGGTTCCTTCTTTCTGCCCCATGAATTGGGGAGGATTTAAATCATTAATCTCAATTTCCCCTATTGGGGCCGCCCCTCTACTTCCTAAAAGCAACTCTGTTTTTATACAAAATTGATTGCCCTTTACCCAAGGATGCTCTAAACAAAATTGGTTAAAATCCCTCTCAATAAACTGAAGGATGAGAATTTTAAACATTTGTTACCAAGTTCCCCCTACTTCTACTTCTACATTATAATAACCGCCTTCAACAAGTTGAAGATTGTTATTTGGAGATCATTGCATAAGGAGGGGAAAATAAACAAGTAAATAGATATATAATTAAATAAATAAATGAATAAATAGGGATTTATGGTAATTTAGCTATGGCGGATTTGAAGGCAGTTATTTTTTTAAGTTCACAGATGTCTGGAGGGAGGCGGTTCCAATCAGATATTGTTCGTGGGGAAAATGACTGTTTACTGACCTGGGTTTTACAAGAAGGTACTTGAAATGAATGAGCATGGGTGTGCGTGGTGAGACGTGATGGGGGCTTTAAGAAGTCCATGGATATGGCTATTTGGTTGTGTACAATCTTATTGAAGGTACTGAGGCGCATATCCTTGCCTGTTTTTTCTAGTGAGGGCCAGCCCAGCGTATTCAGCATGTCACCAACGCTGGACAAGTTCCGGTGCCAGTTTGTGACAAACCGAGCAGCTCTGCGTTGCACCATTTCTATTTGTTGGATGTCTGTCTTATTGTAGGGGTCCTATACAGTACATGCATATTCAAGAGATGGTCTGACGAGGGCTTTGTATGCATTTTCCTTGAGAGATGTGGAATGACCATTTAAAGTTTACTAGAATTTGACAGTGGACTTATTTCTAGTGATTGACATGACATTACACTTTTCAGGATGGAATGACATTTTCCAGTTGTCTTCCCACTGTGCAAGTAGGTCTAGATCAGCCTGTAGCCTTAGGGCATTACTGTTTGATTTGATAGCCAGGTAGGCAATGGTGTCATCCGCAAATAGACGGACAGTTGCATCTAGACCCTCTGGCATGTCGTTGATGTAGAACAGGAACAATAAAGGGCCGATGACCGAGCCCTGGGGGACTCCAGACATGACATTCACGTACTCAGACTTTTCACTTTCAATAAGGACTGACTGTGTCCTGTCTGATAACAGGTCTTCTATCCATGTGGTAACTATGTCACTCACAACGTAGTGCCTCAGCTTATGGATAAGGAGGGAGTGACTTACTACTGGACCCTTTCCCTTTGCTCCCATGGGGACCACACTCTCTTAAAACAAATTGAGTCCCCCTTGCCAAATTATTTCTCTCGACCAAATTCGGTTAAAATAGTTCATTCTGAAGAAAATAATTTTAAATCTCCCATATTGGGCCCCGCCCCTCTTCCCCAAAGGGGCCACGCTCGTCGTTTATAAAAAAACTGAATCCCCTTACCCAAGGATGCCCTAGACCAAATTTGGTTAAAATCCCTCCAATTGTACAGGAGAATGGTAAGAATATGCATCAAATTCCCCTATTGGAACCCAATGCTTTGCACCAAGAGGTGCCATACCCTCTAGATCTGTTTATACAAAACTTAGTTCCCTTTTCCCAAGTATGCTCGAGGCCAAATTTGGATAAACTTCCCCCAATGGTACAGAAGAAGAAGGATTTTAAAAATGTAGTCCTCCAATTCCACTATTGGGACCAACCCCTCTGCACCCAGAGGGGCCATATTTTCCGTTTATACAAAATGTAGTCCCCTTTGCCACAGGATGTTTCAGGCCTTATTTTGATAAAATCCCTCCAATGGTACAGAAGAAGGAGGATTTTAAAGATTGAAACCTGAAATTCCCCCTATTGGGCCTCTGCACCCAGAGGGGTCACACCCTCCGTTTATAAAAAAAAACAAAATATTTACATTTGCATGGCATTGTCACTATATAGCCTCTTTGAAAGCTGTGTCGTTGATGGAACTTTAATTACTATGCAGCACGAGACTAAATTCTTAGCGTATTAATACAACACTGACCGGAACTACAATATCGAATGTTAATAAACATGACGGCTGCTGAAATTTCGCTGGGCATTGTGAGACCTGTAAATTAATGTGCAAAATAAAAAATACTTTTATTACAACAAAAACAAGACCAATGTCTGCAATATCGTACAAAATGCACATCGGTTGAAATCACCAATGCCGGCAATGGAAACAATTTTAACGCTCATGCAATTTATCAGAAATGTCGCCTGTTACACTGCGGTGATCAACAGGGGTTCGTTACAAATGTCTGAAATACACATATTCTATAGACCTACTGACACATATGTTACAGACCTACTGATATGAGTCACAGCACATAAACATTCCAGACATTTGTAACGAACCCCTGCGCTCTGTCGCAAGATCACTCACTCCAAAAATAACTCCCTCGTGGAGGGCAAGGTCGGATTTCGGTGTTCACTGTATTTATCCATACGAGAAATTTGTTCCGGGGAAAAATAGAAACAATTTCAACTCTAACTTTCAGCTCAGAGTTCTATTGATAAACTTAAATCACGCTATGGACATATCATACGCAATTTTATTGCTACTGAATTGTGGAAAAAAATGTTTATTAAAAAGTGTTTATTAAAATTTCAAAGTACCACTTTGTTTGCCAATCAGCACGCGACAACACGCTGTTCCAACTATTGAACGAATTTGTGTGGACTGTCGATAAGGCGGAAATTTTAAATTTTATATATAAATTGTAAGTTAAAAAGAACATAAGAGGCAGAGAAAACATAAATATAAGTATTGAACTGTTTTTGTATGGTATTTATGATCTATTTGAATGACACAGCTTTGCAAGCAAACAAATCATAATGCGCGTCCAATGCTTAATTAGTCCCCTTTGCCCATGGATGTTCCAGACCAAAGTTAGTCAAAACTCAAAAACCTGTTTAGGACAAGTAGCGTTTTAAAGGAATAGTTGACGGACGATCGGATGGACGGACGACGGATGCTGCGGTATGGCGGCATAAGCTCACACTGGTCCTGCAATTATGAAAGCTGCTATCTACGATTAAAAAAGTGTCCCGTTGCTTTTGGCGAGGTCATGATAATATATAACTTGAACAACATGAGAGGCACAGCTGACGTCACAAGCTGTTTTCCGCACAAAACCAAAATATAAAACAAAGCTATCATATCTGATCCATTTGTTTTTAAAGGGGCATCACGGTGAAGTAACTTTATTTTTTGTCTTTTTTCAAATACTACATAAACATATCAAGTGAGACTCCTTATGGAAAATAACGATCGGATTTGGCTGAAATAGATTCATAAAAATGATTAAATCTAAGAAAATCATCGGTATTTCTACCTGTCTGACCAACGTTTTGTTCAGGGATTTCCCTCTACTAGCGCATGCGTATAGCACACCATTTCTTTGTAAACAAAATGACTGGCCGTGTGAAGTAAGCGAAAGAAAAGGGTTGTACCGTGTCAGCTATGAAACAAAAAGTTGCCAAATGGTCAAAAGATAGCGCAAGGAGTACATTACGGAATCATTATTGCAGGTGGGCAGGATTCAAAGGAGAAAATAACTGCCCTAGCAGTTAGTACGGTGCATGTATTCTTCCGGATAACCGGTTAAGCTGAAATGGAATCGACAGAAATGCTAGCGCTGTTTATGTTATGAATAAATATCTAAAACTATTAAGCTCGCTAGTATCTTTGTCTGAGTTTGAACACAGATGAACTTAGTTTAATATGTCAATGGGCATTTATCGGGGAGTTTACTTTGTGTTTCTATGATTATACAGTGGTTTTTGCGAAAGGAAGGGATAAGTGACTGGTTAGTTTGATTTTGCCATGAGGCCCTCCAAGGGATAACTGTTGTGAAGGCCCACGGCGTATTTTCGGGGTCATTAAGATACGTGCGCTATTAGATTTACATAATTTATAATATGACCGGGTTCAGTAGAATAGTATGATTTGATTATATTGCTGAATTACACGATTATTTTTGGTTTTACATATGTAACGAAACGTTACCTACACACTCGGGTTTGACTGCCGCTTTCGCTTGCAGGTTCCATCGATTGTAAATAAAGTATGAAAAAGTATTTAGGAAGCAGAGATCGGTGACACAAACAACTTAGGCAGGTATAGATTTCGCACGTTTATTGTACATTCAAACTTAACAGCATAACAAGACACGTGGCGGCAGGTGGGTTGCCAAGTTTCACTACAATTTAGTGAAATATTCAGTACAACATGACCCTGTCTATAACTCGTACTCGCTCTATATTCGAGCAAGCTACCTTATCACGAATCCCAAAGCCCTCCACGAGATAACTCAAACACGTGCACGAGGACATGCGGCTATCACTTCCGCTCAATAGCTTTTCCGTTAACCATTCTACGGTCCGCCACACGCCTTTATGTGGGCTAGAGGAGCCTACCGCTCATAGACACAACCACGGCATGCTCAGAACATAAAGGGCGGAGAATGCAAAACATCTCTCCTTCAAACGGTATGACGACCGGCATGTCTCCCGCAAAAATATCTCTAAGTTCACCTCGCTATTTCCCTATTAAACTAACGCCATAGTACAAAAATACTACCGAGGACCTAACAAGAAATGTTCAGTAAATGTTTACAACCCCGGATTCTGGAAGGATGGGCGACATAGAGTAATTAAATCATTGGATTTAGACAGCTGAAAAAGTGCTGCTTACCTGGCTGAAGTCGGGAACAAAAGTGCTCTATCCCAGAAGCCACCTTGATATATCCGGTAGCGGCCGGTATAATTTTAAGGATTCCCGCAGGTCGGTGAATTAGACGGAACGCAACGCCCCAAAACCTTGGTGCGTTACACATACAAGATTTAATTAGTACTAATATGAATACCCGACCTCCTCTGCCCCGGCAATATATATAAAAAAAAACACCAGAAAGGTTGTCCCATGGTTGAGGGAAGGTGTTTAGCCCCGTACCATCTGTACCGGTCACATTCTGGTACTAAATTCAATATATATTTGTAAATATCTACTTTATGTTTATGTCTATTATCATTGTTGACATTTAATTGTAAATGTATGACGGGAGAAGGCTGTGATAAATTGTAAAATCTTGTGCCCCCATCCCTTGTTCAATTTTATTGGCAACAAATATGTTTAAAGCTAAATAAATTTAAATTCTGAATATTGGCAAGCGTGCAATTAACTTCTGATGATGAATAATTACTGATCAATAAGTTTGAATACGGACTCAGAAATCATATCACTTGGTTTCATAGCGCGGTAAGAAGTTGCAGTTGCCTGACGGCCCCTCTCTGGGGGCCCCTCTGGAAACGGTTTCATCTTGCTCAGACCACTTGTGTTTACTGCCGAGTCAGGTGACGTTATTGGCGCTATTTTTAGCATGGCTTTCCCGAACAATTCAAGTTGTCAAACTGGACATTTGGAACGGACTATGAATATGGGAATAGCGAGGTAACATAAGTGGAAGTGCAAACAATATATACATTCACTAAAAAAAATTATGGCTCTTCACGTGATGTCCCTTTAAGTTTAACGTAATGTATTTGAAATGAAAAGTATGATGAAGTTAGCTTCAATGTAAGTGCTTGGGGAACGCTCTGAGTGATGCTTTTAAAGGACTATTTTCCAAACGCATAGTCACGCAATTGTTATATTCTCATATAGAAGGGTATTGCCACACCTAGTTGAAATTCTTGCAAAATAGTTTCCCTTTTTATGATTTTAATATATGAGATACCATTACAATGTAGGTTCGTGGAACATTGAAATTCTTCACTGGCATACTGCATCTATTACCAAATCTTTAAAAGGACCATCACATGTGTGTATTTTTTAAAAGGGCCATCACATGTGTGTATTTTTTAAAAGGGCCATCACATTTGTGTATTTTTTAAAATGGGCCATCACGTGCGTGTATTTTTTAAAAGGACCATCACATGCGTGTGTTTTTTAAAAGGACCATCACATATGTGTATTTTTTAAAAGGGCCATCACATGTGTGTATTTTTTAAAAGGGCCCTCACATGTGTATATTTTTTTATAATGGGCCATCACGTGCGTGTTTTCTTTAAAATGACCATCACATGCGTGGTTTTTTTAAAAGGCTTATCACATGCGTTTTTTTTTTTTAAAGGGCCATCACATGTGTGTATTTTTTAAAAGGGCCATCACATGTGTGTATTTTTTAAAATGGGCCATCACGTGCGGGTATTTTTTAAAAGGACCATCACATGCGGGTGTTTTTTAAAAGGACCATCACATATGTGTATTTTTTAAAAGGGCCATCACATGTGTGTATTTTTTAAAATGTGCCATCACCTGTATGTTGTGGTTTTCGTTTTCAGCACTGGACACTATATTGCCAGCCTTTTTTTCATGCATGTGATCAACCATTTACATTTACATTCACATTTTGTGTCTGAATGCGCTGATTTCAAACAAATTCGTGACCCATTATATAATGTATCGTCTATGAAAAGTTTGATTTATTTTCTTTGCAATTGATATACGACTGTTTACATTTAATCAATCTTTACAATAAGATATGATAGACAACCAGTTAGTTTGCTATTGATATATTTTAATTTTTAACCTATTTTGTTTTAGTTTGATGTACTCATTTTAGTGAATGTCTTTTTTTACAGTGTTGTCTTGGCCCAAAATGACTCATATTGTCTATTGGCCGTTAAACAATGCAAAAACAAAATAAAACAGAAACTATATTGCGAACGTGTTAAATCGTCGTTAATAAAAGTATGGAAGAAATGCTCAACTTTACTTTTTTGATATTTAACTTTATTAACTTATAAATGTTTAAAACGTATATTAATCACTCTTGTTAGCCCGCATGTAAGCGCGAGAGAGGTCTTAATGTGGGAGGAAACCGGAGTACCCGGAGGAAACACACTGGGTCGGGCAGGCGACCCCATACTTTTTCACGTCCGACGGGGAATCAAACCACGGCCGCCTTGGTGAATACATACATTTTTGATGCCGTAGATAACTACAAGACCTGTGTTTATATGTTGTAGGTGGGTATTTTGTGATGGTCACCCGCCCATTTCACCTAGATACGGTTGAGGAGTACAACGGACGTTTTGAACCCTTGATGGACGAGATAGAAAAAGAGGGGAAATGGAAAAACATCCGAAAGGAAGTTGTTCCTGGCTATCACAGAGACTATGAGGGCATTGTGTTTGTATATCAAATAAAATAAGAACGTGATTGAGAAGAAAGCCGAATCTGCTGATTCGTGTATGTATAGTGACTTAGCTAGGCACTGGAGTTCACTGTCCATTTTCATAAACTAAAAATAATAAATGTTTAAAGGAAACGGCTATCGAGATTTAGTTATTCGGGTTACACGCTTCTGCATGCTTTAGCTCAGCAATCATTCTCTAGTTACAGTTGTAAGATAAGGTACAAAACTGAGCGACTCCAAAACTCATGATTAAAGATATCTTGTGTTATTATAATTAACAATGAAATATATATGATACTCTTGACACTCCATCCTCTTTAAAAAGATGAGCAAAAATGAAACTGTGATTTGTCATGTTAATTGACACAATATAGGAAAACATACGAAAAAGTTAAGGTGTTCATTGTGAAAAGCTTTCGTGGGATATAGAAAATCGTTTGACATCGCCTAATCCAAAATGTTCAAACTCTCACTTTGTCTCAAACATTATATACTGTACAACATTTGTGACTTTTTCATGCTTCAATATTTCAATTAGTAGCACATGGAGAGATAAACATTTTAAGTTCACATTGATCAAAATATTTACAATTAATAATGTAGTTACGTGACATCATAGACATTTCATCTTTATTTCATATTTATAGCGCCTTATCAATAAAATTCGTGTGAGAATTGAATTAACTGAGTACACATATGCCGTGCGTTATTTATATTTTCACTCAAAGTCGAGGTCCGTGTGTTTTTACATTGTAGCTATTGGCAGGGAATAAGTTCGTGTTATTGGTCATCGGTTTCAAGTTTAGACACCAACATGAAACATCAACCATCCTTACAATGGTCATATCATATTTCTATAAAAGTTTGAGTCACGTATAAAAGAAAATCAAAATTCCTTGTATCATCCTTTTAATAACAATATACAAAACTATGATTTCTCCAATTGTTTTGGCCATTCATATAAAGAAGTTTTAGATTTGAGAAAACTGACAATCTTACATATCTTTGATCTTAAATATATCCATTTATCTCATTACCAGCGTCATCCAACAATTACCTTAATTCTTTGTCACGGTTGAATTAATACAAATTTAACGGCATCAAAGCTATTTTGCTAACATTTTAATCAATAATATTGTGTTGTTCAATTGGCTCATAACATGTGTGTACCTCGTAGATATCCGGCGACTCAAGTCGATCTCGAGTGCAAAATGCCACTTGTACGATTTTCTTTACCAGTCATTTTGTGTAAATTTTACATGTACATGTTTATTCTATATTAGTTCAAAGTAATTTTCAATGGTCATATTTTCATATAAGATATCAGTTTGAATCCTAAGACATACATTTCTCTTATGTTAGCTCTTACTCTTCACATCGGTTATCCAGGTACCTCGTGGTTTCACCACTCCAGGAACGCCCCGCAGGGCGTGTCGTCGTATTATATATTAATGAATCTCCTGACCACTTATTGTTCAAAATGTGATCAACTTAATAAGTTTTTCACTTAACAGCTTTGCATGTCCATTTTTACCAGTTATACAAATATTGTTATGTTTACTATCTACATATTAGCAGTGTTAAAACGAGGACATGAACGTTTTTTCATTAGAATATTTGATAAAAAAAAATATTGCAGACATCCAGTGTTCGTATTCAACGTAATTAAGCTGACAAGACGTTAACAACTTGGTGAAGAAAATCAACACTGCCCAGGTTTGTCGTGCTAATATTAAAGGTATATTTACTGGTATTTCAAACTTGGCAAACTACATGTTAATTGTAAACAATTAATGTGTCGCATGTAAGTTTAGAGTATGTTAAGTGATTTTAAATGTAGTACATCTATTCTAATTATAATTGCTTTTAAACTTTCCTGACATAACAGTACACAAGGAACCCTCACTGTTTCCGTTGGCAGTGTTGAAACTTGAATTCCTGTTTATTGCATTAAAGTGTTGGATCTACAATTCTTAATGGAAATTGATCTCAACTTTTACCATAACTTGATCACAGAAACACACACATGCTAACAGAATCAGCCCCGGGGGTGAGGACGGACCAAATCTTGGGAGCATGGATGTTTTGTCTGACAATGTCCAATATGGTTATAATTGGGGTAAGGATTTCAAATGTTTTCAAGTTATGCCCAATATCCCAACCAGGACTCGCGCGCTCCATGGCGAATTGTGGGGAAACATATTTGTCTAATCATAGAATGGGAAACCGTTATGACCAAATTTTTCCCATTCTCTCTTCTGCCCCCAGAGCCCAAGAGTGAAATTTGACAAAAAAAGACTTTTAAAGGTTTGCCTCTATTTGTTCTCGTCCCTCTACCCCTGGGGAAGCCACACACTTCGTATTTAAAAAAAACCCATCAAGTCCCATTGTCCTAAGGTTGTTCCTGAACGAAATTGAACGATACTCACTTCATCCTACAGAAGAAGGATGTTAAAGGTTAACTGATATTTGGCCCCGCCTCTACCCCGCCTTTGCTTATACAAAATTACGTCCCGTTGTCTAAAGGGTGCACTAGAGCAAATTAAGACAAAATCTCTTCGTTCTTCTAGAATAAGGATTTCACCGGTTTACCTTTCGCTATCTATTTGGCCTTGCCCATCTTCCCTCGGAAAGGGCAAGGGGGCCGGCACCCTCCGCTTATACAAAATGTATTATCTTTGTCCCAAATTTGCCCAAAAGCATATATGATAAAACTTATTTATTTCTACAGAAAAAAACGATCTTCAGTTATGTTGCCCCTGAAAGACCACACCCTCTATTCATACAAAATTGGGTTCACTTGGCCCATAACTGCTTCAGTCCAAATTCAAAGTCAACTTTGCCATTCTGGACTGGAGTAGCGGGAAAACTTGATGGACGAGCGACGGACACCGCACCACAGCACAGTCTAATATTGCACTTAGGGCCAGTTAGTTTATAATGGCACAGCTAATGTGATTCTAGTATTATTTTCTAATTACGGATCAAAGAAAAATAACCTTCATCTTGTTATCATGTTGAACGTGGAAATTACTTCCAAGCATTAACACTGCCAATCAGGAAAACACAATACAGATTTCTGTAAGCTCATTACTTTTATAACTATGAATGGAGATCAGTAAAGTTGGACAGTTATTCGTTATTCGTTATTCGCTATTAAATAACGAATAACTGTCTAACTTTACTTTCCGGGGGGCGGAAGTAAAGTTGGACAGTTATTCGTTATTCGTTATCCGTTTACTTTACAGTTATTCGTTATTCGTTATTCGTTAACTTTACGTAGAAAGTGTAACAGGTGGTAACACAGCAATAATTTACACCGTGTTAAATTACCACATACAGATATCCATTTTGAATGTTGATAGATTGTTAACGCCATTTTTCAGAAAGAACTGGGCTGTTTTTTCTTACGTTTAACACGAATGTTCTTATAGTCTGTAGTTTCGCATATCGAATTTGGGATCTGACATGAAAACAAAGATGGCCGACAGGCGGCTACATGTTTTTAGATTACCTGGTCCGCAGCTGCGACCGTCCGTAGTCCGTCCGTCAACTTTTCCTAAAAATCGCTACTAGTCATGAACGACTGAGCAGATTTTGACCAAATTTAGTCAGAAGCATCCCTCGGGAAAGGGGAACAAATTTTGTATAAATGGTGGGTCTGTTACCCCTGGGCGCTGAGGGGCGGGGCCGAATAGGGGGAATATAGCAAATTCTTTAAAATCCTTCTTCTTCTGTAGGAACGAAAGGATTTGTTCAATATTTAGTCTGAATCATCCTTAGGTAAAGGGGAACCAATTTTGTATAAACCGTGGGGTTGGCCCCCAGGGACCTGACGGGCAGGGCCCAATAAGGGGAAACACGGCAAATTATTCTTTAAAATCCTTCTACTTCTGTAGGAATGAAAGGATTTGGTCCATATTTGGTCTGAAGCATCCTTGGGTGAAGGGCCGATACAGGCCCCTGGGCCTCTTGTTTGAATTTTGAGATTAAGATGAATAGTGTTAGTGCTATTTCTTAGAAAGTATTCGAAGGATCTTTCTGGTCTCTTGTTATGAATGTCAAATTTCGTGTCTGTTTAAAACCAAGTTGGTTGATGAGCGGCCATTTGGAATGTGGAGAGTTAAAGTATGTTAACATTGTTTCACAGAAAGTAATGGGAGGATCTTTATCAAATTTGACATGAAAGTTTCCCGTGATCTTCTGTTATGCGTTAAAGGGTCTGATCAGGATATCACGATAGGTGACAGACTGCTATTTTGAATTAAGAGATTGCAAGGTTGTTAGCGCTATTTCTCAATACGTACTTGATAGATCTTTATCCGTTTTCGTATGGTTACTTGTATATGGCCTTAGTTGTGCATGTTTCATATTAAGGCTGTTTAGAAAAAACAAAATGGTCGCAAAGGCATCCATACTTGATTTTGACAGTTACAGTTTGTTATCCATATTTATTGACAAATACTAGACAGATCTTTCTTCAAATTCAAATTTGGGTTCTCCTTCCTACAGAGTAGGCACCATATAATAAATATGTAGCACAACAACCTGACTTTTCAATGTCATACAAATCAGTTTAAAATAATTATGAAAATTGACTATGAGTTGACAAATTGTTTACGTGACTTATTCCAACAGAAAAGAGACACGCAGAGTAAAGATCAATAGAACATGAAAACTATGAAGATGGTACGATGGTAGGCGCCCGGATCTATCTGTGTAGATAGAAACGTAGTAAAATAGATGTTTGGAATTAGAAAGAAAAACTTAGTAAATTCATATTGAATGATCAGCAATCAGATATTGTTAGATTTTGACCAAATTTAGTATGGCTTTGTTCAAATTTTGTTAAAAGGAGTATGATGTCGCTACAACATTTATTAATGGATTATTTTAAGGGACCAGTTTCCAAATAGGTCTAGAACTCGAGCCGATGCCAAACGTTTTAAAGGTTCCACGTACAGGGGGTGCCATAAAGATAGAACTTGGTGTTCACTCCGAGCCAGTACCATGAACAAAGTATTAGTAAAACATTTCATGTATTCATAATCATTCAGAATACGGTCGCAACTACAGAATCTGTGCCGGTGCCCAATATTTAAATGGTTCCAGAAAGTGGGGGTCCGGCAAAAACCGTTTACATTAAGTTTAAGTAGGATTTAAAAAGGTATTTAACAAGAGTTTGACCAGGAAAATAAATTTGACAATTTTATTGGTAAATAGATGGCACACAGGGTTTGGAAATATCTAGAACGGATGTAGATGTCCATCTTTTGAAAGGTTCCACATGTGATAGATGGAACAAAAATCACGTAGTTATCGATTGTGATAAAAAAAATGGAGTTATAAATATGAATTTGTGTAGACATTTTTGTTGATTTATATTGATACCGGTGCTCTTGTGTTTGAAAA